ACCATTGGCGACTGCGGCATTGTCACGCTGCGACAGTCCGATTTAAAAACGAAAACGAAGAGAGAGAGGGAGAGAGAGAGAGGTGAGGGATTTAATTTGAAAATAATTTAGAGAGAATGTCGGATTTTTTTCTCTCTTTCTCGCGCTCGCGGAATGCGGTGTGTGCCGAAACGAAGAGCATCGGTAGTTTATTAGAGACTCTCTTCGAGAAATTTGCAAATTTTAATAGTTTCCCCGAATTTGACATATATCGTTTGTGCCCAAACTCAATTGTGTTTCTGTCTCTCGGTGGAATTGTGCCCCGCGAAAAAGATTTCCCAGAAAGACCTCCAAACCCCAATAGATCATTCGACTTTGATGTATTATTAAAACTATTGGCAAAATATCCGCGGCGAAATAACATATATTTCTTTCGGAACCGTGGTAAATCCACGATAGAGCAATAAATCGCGGGGAAACGGCACACTCGGGAAGGGATGTAATAGAGAAAACGATGAGGCAAGCATTCGAATAGAAGCGGCCGTAGAATCATTTATCTTTTAGCTCCGATTAGCGTGCAGATAAACGCAATCCCGGGATATCTCATTAGGTCATTTAGTCGGGAACAGCGTCGATCGCGCGGACGGAGAGAGAGAGAGAGAGAGAGAGAGAGAGAGAGAGAGAGAGAGAGAGAGAGAGAGAGAGAGAGAGGGAGGGAGGGAGGGAGAGAGAGAGAGGGAGGGAGGGAGGGAGAGAGAGAGAGAGAGAGAGGGAGAGAGAGAGAGAGAGAGAGAGGAGAAAAAGACGGCTACAATTTTCGAGAGCTACATATTTACCCGCGACGACGACGACGTTGGCGCGACATTTCCCGGAGACGCGTGTCTCTGGAAGTTGCGGCGAGCATACGCGCGCAATGTATGCATGCCGCGAATAACTCGGTCGAAAATACGGAAGAGAGGCGCCTTGCTCGCTCACGCGCGCCCGCTTACGCGATAGTTAATAATTTTCCTCGGTGAAGCGTCGTGATTGAGCCGGTCGAGGGGGGACGACATATTGATTACGCTACGTGACGCGAAAGTCTGAGCTGCTCGCGCGAGGAGGTAACGTCATCGCCGGCCGGCCGAATTGTGGCGGACTAATCACTCGGTAGAATTATTATTGCACGTTTTATTGACGGCGGACGTACGCTCGGCCAGCGCTCGTTTTCGTGGAACGGTACGCCTCTCCGCGGATCGAAGGAAAAATAATAACACGAGCGCGCGCGGCGCGATTATTATGGATTGCAAATGCAGGAGATCTGCTCTCGGTGCCGTCCGCGCGCGCGTGGATCACCGTGTTCGGGGATAAGTGATACATGCGCCGCGAACGGCATTGTCCGCGTGTGCGATCGCGATCGCATCGTGTTCAGGGTGGTCTGGAAGCCGCGTCGAACTCGATCGCGTCGATCGCGTCTTGGGCTCCCCTCATCCGAAATTACATTAGCCTATAATTTCCTAACGTGGCGTGAATGAAAAGCCAAAGCGATGCGCGCGATCGTATCTCATGTCAGACGGAAGTAAAAGAATTAAGATGGAGCCGCACAATGACGTCCTGCGTGAAATTTCTTCGATTTGACGCAGCATTGTATAATTTTCGAAGCCGGAGTTCCTCGGAGGGAACATTTGACGGGGTGTCGTAAAAACTGAGCGGACAGAGTTAACTTTTGTGTTTGAAATTAGATTGAAGCACGTGATTGTTCTTGTCCGTTTCGTAACGCTGCAGCTTTATTTTCCCATTATATTTCCGTCGGCGAGATTCGCCGCGAGAGGCGGCTCCGAGAAAGAGAGAGAGAGAGAGAGAGAGAGAGAGAGAGAGAGAGAGAGAGAGAGAGAGAGAGAGAGAGAGAGAGAGAGAGAGAGAGAGAGAGAGAGGGAGAGGGAGAGACAGACGTAGAAACAGAACGCGCTTTATTTTGTAACACAGTACTTTAATTTGCCTTCGTCGTCGTAGATCTGAATTTCGGCTGAGCGTTTCTATTCGAGCCATTTCTGCCTTCCGTTTCCAAGTCCAACGATAATCCTTCGTACAAGGTAAGCGAGACCTTCGTACAAGGTAAGCGAGACAACGCTGATTAACAATCGCTACTGCACCGGACGAGCCGAGATTGCGCGCTCGAGATTACGATAGAACTCGGAATCGAAAGGAGAGATAATTCGATGCGTTATTATGGCGCGGCTGAGAGCACTGTAACGCGATCAATAATACGCGCCGACTGACACGGAGATTACGCGTTGGATCGCGGCAAGCGGGACTCACGGAGCCGAGGTCTATACACGGGGGCGAGCCGAAATTTCCACACGGGGGGAATAATATCACAGCCTTCTTCCGCACGCAAAATTTCTCTGCAATCTTAGCATATTTCTCACAACGCGGGAGCAAACCTACGCGTCTCACCTCTACGACAATCGTAGACAGACTTTATCGAAGCAAAGCGCAGCGCATTTTTTTAACAAGCTTGAGAGAGCTTCCAGTCCCCGAAACGCCCACGAAGCACGTGTGAAACGTAAGGACGATGAATGACGCGGCGGAAAGTCCGTCGCGTCGGTCGCACGAATTTCTGGCGCAATTTTCGCCGTGAAATTCCCCTCTCCGTGCGGACAACGTCGTGCCGATGAATTATCGGAGTAATTATCGATCCACCGCGCCGGCGATTCTCGCGCTATCGGGCCGAGCGAGCCGGCGAAGCCGGGGGTGCTTCCAACACGACCACCCCGTACATTCGCGCGCGGCCGACGGCTATCGCGGACAGCTAGGCGCAGTTAGCGCATGCACGAGACGCAAAGGCAAAGGGCCGTGCGCTAGGCCGAGAGAGCTAGCGCGCGCATATATGTATGTACATGGACGTGCACACGTGGGGTATGTACGTATCTCGCGTATGTAGCGTGCAGGCGTAATTATACGTACACAAGGAACACACACACACACATACACGTGCACATACACGGAGAAGGCAAGTCACGGTCGCACCTGCTCGCCGTACCGACAGCAGGCGCGTCCTATTGGACGACGCACCGGTCGACGGACGGACGGACAAACGAACGGACAGACGCACATATACCGGTTATTGTCCTGTCCCAGGAAGAAGCAGGGCCTGCCCTATCGGCTTCGTTAGCACTCGATTCCTATCGAAGGATGTTTCCTACGATCTCCATCACTTGTCATATTTCTTTCTCGTGCTTCCCCCCGTCCGCCCTCCCTCTCTTCTCTTGCGCTCTCTCTCTCTCTCTCTCTCGCGCGCGCGCGCGCGCGCGCGTCCTGTTTTACGTCGTTGTTTGCGAGTCGTCGGCTTCCAGCCTGCATGTTCGTCGCGGCCGACGAGCGCGAGGCGGTAAACGCGCCGATCATTATGATTAAGAACGCGTAAGATCTCGCGCGAACGTGTAGCATGCGGAGAGGTTGCGATTCTTCTCCCCGCGTCTTGCTGATAAAGAGATGTGTCTCGCGAGCAAAATGGAAACTGTCCGTCGACTTGTCGGCGGCAGGAGGATGAATGATTTCGAACGGCACGGCAGCGCGGAAAAAGCGCGCGTGGTACACCCTGTACATTTACGTACACTTACGTGCCGTAATAAAATTTCATTACAGCGAACGTCGACGAAATGTAATTTTCGCCGTAATAAAATCTAATTAAATGCCCGGCTAATACCTACACCTATATGGCTATAATCCCATAGCCATAACAAAATTTCAATACATCAGTAAACTCAATTTCGGCATTCGGGGGGTAATCAACTGCTACGGCGGCGTGTGATTGTAGCGAAACTTCGCTGTACGCGCAATTTTTGGCGGGCCGATAACATCCGCGGGAAATAAACGGCTCTCCCTCTGCCTCTCTCGCCCGCGCGCGTCTCGAGCTCGCGCCTGAAGAAAGCGCGTACCTAATTTCTGGATACTCGATGGTCAACCTGATGATGATCGTCCTTTCGTCCTCCCCTTCGCGAAGAGACAAAAGTTCGCAACGTTCGAGAAACTTCCATCTCTCTCGCACGTGAAATATCTCTTTCATCGGTAAGACGCTTGTTGCGCTATTACGTATTAGTCGGAGCAAGGTTTCACGCGTTCTCTTAATCGTGACGATCGCGACGCGAACGCGAGCGCATTCCGAACATGCGGTTTTATCGCGAGAAGCGTCCGAAGCGCGAAGGAATCGCGGAAATGCGGCGTGCCGGCGACGCATTACGCCGCTTCCGACGTAATTTCTCACAGCACTCGGCTCGATATATCGAGCCGATACGTCGGGATCGCTACGAGTACATGTGCGCGCGCGAACGAGAGCAGCGACCGGCGCGCCCGGACGTCGAGCGAATCCTTTTACCCTCTCCTGCAAGCCGACCCAACCAACCACCGTCTCGTCTCGATAACCAAAACAGACGAGTGGTTAAATTGCGATCGCGACGTCGCGCGGCAAAAAGTGCGGCCGGCCGCTCGTAAAATGTCATTACATTGTGGAGGATATCGTGCGGCAGATGGCCGCCGCCGTCGCCGCGACTTACTGGATGAGCGCAGAAACGCGCGAAGTACCGGTTGCAGCGAGTGACGACGACGATTAGCATTTCCGAGCCGGGGAAGCGACATTTTACGACGGCGACGGGAGGCGGTCGTGCAAATAAATGACAAACTGCGAGCCGAAGCCGCGCGGATCGAATCGAAAGCTCCGTCGAGCGTCGCCGTCGACGATCTCTCCCGATCACCGGCTGTTTCTTATTAATCGACAACGACGACGACGACGACGACGACGCGCGCGCGGCAACCGCCACCGAGCGGCGGCGGACTTGTTTGAACGAAAACTCTGCGCGCGCTCGCAGCGGCAGTCACGATACGTAATATATTTGCCGCGCGAAAGTCGTCCCCGCTCGGACTGGATCGCGTTATCTGGCATTTCGCAAGCGCGATGATTAACTTCGCACTTAATTAACAGTTATCGCGCGTACAGTTATCGAGGCGTAACGCTCCGTGATATCCGTGAGTTGTTGGGGACTTACAAAGTTGGTCGGATCGTGCCGATGATTCCGTCGCTGAGGCAAAGATGAGTCATTTTGCGGACGTGGAGTCAGTTACCTGAAACGACGACAGAAATAACGACGCTAGAGACACTTTGAGCGTGGCGTGTTCTGGCATGGAAAGAACGTCGTATATAACATTTTTCCCATGTAAACGTTGAAATCTGCCGCTAGAGCAGAAGTAGTTCGTCGCAGGAATTTATCTCGTCAAGGAACATGGTTGAAAATTGTTGAGTAGTAGTGTGCAGCCTTGGACTTTGGTTCGAAACGAAATAAATCGAGGCAGAATCGAGGTGTGATCCTCGCAGAGGAATCCTTTCCTGCGACCAAGATTCTCTCGCCAAGATTGATTTGGTCGCTACCCAATTAGCGCCGTTTGACTTCTCTCTCGCGATCGCTCAGAGCAACGCGGCTAAAAGTCCGACCAACATTCGCGAGCTCCCGCGACACTCCCGGCTGCCGTCGAACGCCGCCGCTTCGTTATGCTTCGTTTTCTCCCTCTCCCGGGTCGATCGGGGGCACCACCAGCCCCCGATTCCCGGAGGTAGCGCATTATCGGGATTAATCGCCGCACGCGCCCCGGTAAATTCGTTGCTCTCCTCGAAACACGCCACTGCCGCCGGACCTAACGAATCGCCCGGTATGATTGATACGTCCGTGCGTTATCTGCAGCATCTAACGAACGGGGCCAGGGGGATCGTTCGTTAGCCGGTCGGTGTTTACAATTGGAGAAGCCCGTAGAAACGATTCCCGACATAGTAATTATCACCTCGACTGGGACCACTTTCGAGCCGCCGCCGCCGCCGCCGCCGCCGTTGCGCGTGGACGGCGAGCCCGCAGCCGCGGCTGCGCCGAATCGGCAGGCCGCATCGGGCGCGCCTCTCTCGCCTACTTAACAAACTGCTACTAAATTACAGTTTCCGAGATGGGCAGAGGCAGGGAGAGAGAGAGAGAGAGAGAGAGAGAGAGGGAGAGAGAGGGAGAGAGAGGGAGAGAGAGGGAGGACGGTGGCCCGTTACTTTGCATAAAAAATTATATGGCCTCTCGGAAGGGCGAAGGGCGCTTCCGTTCTATTTTGACGAAACCACGAGTTGTACGAGTTGTGTGTATACGTGTGTCTGTGTGCGTGTGTGCACGCGCACGAGAAGAGAAAAGGAATACGGTTGCGGCGCACAGTCAGGCCGCCGAACGATACGTTCGCTCGGGCCGCTCGCTCGTTAGGAGATGGAGGAAACGATATATGGCCCACGGTGATGGGCACGACTAATTATTTCCACGGTTTGTCTTCCGGCTTTTCTACGGCGCGGTCGTATTTTAATTTCGCCTCTCCCGCGCATCGCGTGCAAGCCACCCCCTGCCTCGGCCGTCTCATCTCCCGAGTTCGAATAAATTCTTCCTTTCCAACAACGTCCGCCGCTACGGGGATCTCTCACGAATAAGCTATGCTCGGCGCGATCGTAAATCCCAACGTCCCTAAAATACGATCGTCACCCGAGAATTCGGCTTTATATTTAAACGAAGACCGACGAAAGCAAGCGCGCGTGAGCGTTTTCTCCTTCTTTCGCCGTCCACAAACATCTTCGCCAACATCTTCAGATCGGAGCGCTGCGAAAGGACAGGAGGAGTGTCTCTCTGAGGGCGAGCTGAAGAATCGCGAGGAGCAATTTTTACGGACGATAGGTAGCATTTGCGGAAATACAGTCGCTCGCGCTCAGATCGTCGAAACAGCGCGCGCGAGCGCAGCCGATCAGCGAAACACTTTCGGGCCAAGTCACACTTAGATATCCCGTATAATCACGGAGTTTTGAGAAATGGCAGTACAGATTGCTTCGCGCCAAGTGACCGTTCTCGTACGTATGACAGATTTCTTCGTTCCTCTGCCGAGCGCTGGAGCGAGCACTTTGAGCAAAGTCTCATCCAAGATGACTGAATGAAACTGACAGCCCCTTGGCTGTCGACGGACTATGCGTGTTGTTGGACAGCGGAGGCAGGCACTGCGGTATATTACAAGACTGCACACCTCCGCTGGCCAACATTGCGCACTGCTCGTCGTTGCCAAGAGATTGTCAATAGACTCGGACAAGCTTGGACGACGTCTCATCTAAAGAGCTCGCTCCATCGTGTGACACACGGTTATTTGTCAATGTCTTTTCGTTAATGTCTTAATAATTTTATTGTGGTCATTTACACAATAGCAGAGGGGCCTTTTCATTCATCTGGACGAGTTCTACCTGCACACGAGCGCCGAGACACCCAGCTCCAGATGTCCTGCGCGTTGCACGTATATAGTGCTGCACGTTATAACGCATATATATGTATATATACGTTCTGGAAGAACGTTCTAGAACATATATATACATATATCTGGAACTTTCCAGAAGATTCTGGAATTCAGTTTCTAGAATCTTCCAGAAACTCTCAATTCTAGAAACTGAAGTTCTAGAATTCTCCGGAACATTCTAAAATATCAGTTTCTTTAATTGAAAGTTTCTAGAACCCTCTAGGATATTCCAGAAGATTCTGGAATTTTGCAGAACTTTCTGGAATTTTCTAGATAATTCTAGATACTCTGTCACCCCGTCTTTCCGTCATTAAACCGATAGGCGGTGACGGTGGCGGCGGTGAGTCTAACGCAATGCAATAAATATAGACGGACGATACCGGAGATTATACGCGTGCATCTGCGACCGGCAATTTGGTCACGACGTACCGACTTTGATCTATTCTCGGTGTCGAGCCATGCGCGGCCACACCGGAGACACGAGCGACCCACCTGCGAAATACTGCGAAAACATTCCGGTTCCGCGTAAAGCCGGCTTTTAGAGTCACGTGTGAATTATTGCCGTCGCGAATCTTGTCTAATTTCGAACTAACGATATAGCGGATTTAATTACGGTTTTATATACGCGCAACTAACGCCTCGATAATTATTATCTGGGATGACATTAAATCGACTTGTTTAATCTTTTTTACGTGTCATCTTTCTACCTCATATTTATTATATATTATTTTTTTTATTCTACATTATCTTTACCTTTTCTTATATTATAAATTTATTATATTATATCCTTGTAACATAAATTTGTCGCACATTATTTCATAAAATATTTTACAAAAATACGTACAAAATACGTGATTACCACCTGTCGCGATATTCTCTGTGATGGGATTCGGTCCTTAAAGTTCCCTAATTATCGCTCTTGATCTGGACGCGATCATCACCCGGCTTCACCTTCTGCTTTCCGCGTAAGAAAGACAACATGACAGGAGCGAAGCGAGATAAAAATACACGAACGAGCCGCAACATGCAGATGTACCCAGCTGCCTTATCACCTCGTGCGCTCCGAGCATAATGCACTTGCCTTACACTTTTGCCATGGTGTTCCCGTTCCTTCGCCGTAACGATTGCACGCGTATACGCGTGCGGCACGATTAATGGCGGTGAAACGACTTTATTACACAGCGGTCGGCCGCTTCGAGGTGGCCCGCCGCTGGACGACGTCCGCGAACGCCTAATTAATATCTAGGTCACAAGACGGGGAACGGCTTTAATTGCCTGTGGCTACCGGCGGACCAGTGATAAATAAGCGTCTTATTCTGTGCGCCCAGCACGAGAAGTACCAAGCATGCTCCTCTCGCGAGCCCGCTCGAACTCAAGTCAAGACGCCTCGCCAAGAGATCTACGAGGCCTCGAGGGATACAAGAAAGTTGAAAAGGAGAAATGGATTGATAAATATACCGATGCCACGCACGCGACTTTTTCTCGCGCGAGGAAGGGAGGCATTAATTTACCAGAGAAGAAACACGTGTAAATGTTTGCCGGCGAACCGGCGGTGGACACCCACGCGCGGCGTCTGTCGCGTCATAAAGTCGAATTCCCGATTACATTTCGACGATCGCGCGCGCAATGTGGCTCCTGTGCGTATTTGTTGTAGTCATTCACGGATAATCGACGAAAGGATCAGATGGATTTGAGGGACACGCGCGCGACACGGGCGGATAATTAAAGAAACATAATATCGCGGGGACGCTTGCGGAAGGTTCCGCTTCCTCCTCCTCCTCCTCTTCTCGGCCGATACCTCGTTATACGCGGGAGACACCTTTGTCTCCTTTGTTCCCGAAACGCACGCTAAACGGTTACGGGTGCGAAACGTAACGGTCACTTCGCAAGTAATACGAAAAATGCGCGGCACGCGCCCTCGGGCGGCTCGTTTGAGTACGAAGTCACGTGAGTCCGGAATATTCGCGGAGAGAGGCAGAGAAAGAGAGGAAGAGGAAAAAAAACGACCACGCGAGGGCCGAAGAGGGGAGAAGGGCGAGACAACCAGTCGCGCGATGGTAGATTTGGAAATCAAGATTCCGACTTGATGGATGCGACCTCGGGGGTGGATGTGGGAGTGGCGAGAGGGTGCGCTGCTAACGCGCCTTAAATCCGACTCGTGGAATTCTCTGATACGTGGCTGCGTTCTTGGCATTCTTACACGCTCGCACACGGAAAAGCCTCGGCGAGGGAGGAAGGGAGAGGAGAGAAGGGGAGAGACAGAGAGAGAGAGAGAGAGAGAGAGAGAGAGAGAGAGAGAGAGAGAGAGAGAGAGAGAGAGAGAGAGAGAGAGAGAGGTTTCTCTTCTTTCTCGACCAACCGCTACGTAGCGTCTCAGACATGCGTGCTACTATCGGAACGCTACACGCACGCACATGCACGCGCTACAGGAAACATATTTCAAGTCGTCGCATCGCGACGAAACTGAAAAACTTTACGTCTCGTCGTTGCCTATATATCGCGAGCGCGCGACGACGCTATCTCGCGTTACTTAACTACTATCCAATTTGACTGTTTTATTCAATTAATTCAATTATTTATTGTGAGCCGCGCGTGGGAAGCGTGTACGCACGACATTCATTTCGTCGTGAAAATACGTTATTGCGTTATGTAGAATACGCGCCGAGCAATCTGGGACAACATTGTACAAGGTGCCCCACAAAAAAGCGATTTTAATCGCGACATGACCCTCGGGCAATTTTGATCTCATCTCAATTTCAATTCTGATCTCGACGGAA